TGTGTGTGTGTGTGTGTGTGTGTGTGTTATATTAAAGTGGCTTATAAGAATTCAGTATGCACTTTTTAGGACCAAACGCTTTTGCTCATTTTGATGAGCTGCTTAGTACGTGAATAGCGAAAATCCCACAGTTAATGGACTCGCTCCTAAAAAAATATTTTTCAAGAGTATAGATGCCACAAGTTGGCAGCAAAGCCCAATGTACATAAAAATAAAAATCCTCAACTCACTTCTTTGACAACAAGATAGTACCTTCTGCAGAAGGCACCTTTCAGCAAATAACGACCAATCTGCCACCACACGACTTGTGTCATTTTACTGGTCACTGCAACAAACACAGCAAGTGCACAAAAGCCACCCGCACTACGATGCCACCCAATCATGAATTCCACCTTGTCACATGCAGATTATTTCTCGGTGTCCACTCATGCTGTTACATAACACGTGATTAATTCTGCGCTTTCTCTCTCTCTCACACACACACACACACACACACACACACACACACACACACACACACACACACACACTCCATGAATGTCTGTTTTGAGCATTTGCATACCACTCTGATCCATTGGAGATCTAGCCAGGCACTGTTGCTTGCGCGTGGAGCGGGTCTGAACCCGCTCGGGTTCGCACCCCATTCCCATTACGAGCCTGACAGAGCCAATGCAACGCGTGAGAATGCATACATGGGCACCACCATACATTTGAAATGACCATTCGAGGTGTGCACAAACTGCACATTTCTCAATGGAACATCTCGCATGAGCTATGTCTCCGTATTCATGATGAGAACATCAAATTGCATTGCAGCACTGGTACAGTCCACCTCCCTCCCGCCCCCAACACATGACAGGTTGCAGCCAATCCACATCGTAATCAAATCACCTCACTAAAACCCACGACAACATGTTAAACGCTTGTGGGTGATAGTGAAGCGTGACGGATGGAGAACGGAGTCATCCTCCACATTTCTGTGCGCATGCCCTTGACTGGAAGCTCCACTTTACACTTATTTAGATTGCGGCTGATTTCGCGACAAACAATCAAACGAACGGAGAAGCAGGGAAGACCCGTCATGCCGTGTGGTGTTAAAAAAAAAAAAAAGAACCGCGCATCTCCTCCCATCCCGCAGCATCCTTCACCCTGCGCGGCCACAATGTCAAATGGCAGGTCGCTCCCGTTCTGCGGACATAACCAGACAAATACCTTCAGTGAGATCAGATCCCTGCGGCCATCCTGCTCCTAGACGCGCTCTCCGTGTGCGTGGCTGTAGAGAGGCGGAGGGCACAGGGGCAGCGGTGGAAGGAGAGAGCGATGATCAGAAACATCCTCTCGAAGAGAGGAGGGGGAAATGCCTCCCGCTGCAGTGCGCATGCGTCGCATCTGACAGGTGATCGCTCTGCACGGGCAGAGAAATTAAAGGGGACGCGCGGGGTTTTGGGGTCCACGTGACTCACGTGATGCACGAAAAGCCTGGTGAAATGTACCTGTCGCTATGTGACTACAGTATTTTCAAACATAACACACGCGATCAGCACGTCTAGAAATCGTGATGAAGTTGTGTCATCTTACAACAGGATTTTAATAAAGATACTATTGGTAGATGTGCCTTTAAGCTTACAGGACATTATTTTGACGTACGCCGTCGCATTCATTGGCCAAATTAATTGGGTACTCTCTGCACCACCGGCAAGGAAAACAAAAACGAAAACAAACAAACAACCCCCTCCTCCCCAATTTTATCGTGTTAGTGAAAGAAAACCTCCCTTGATAAAACTATGAAACTTTGCCATGCGTGAGTCAAATTATTATTGACACAGGATGATACTTTTAATATTCATTCATTCATTCATTTTCCGATCCGTTTTGTCCTCTCAAGGGTCGCAGGGTGCTCGAGGCTATACTTTCAATATTGATTGTATTATTTATATTTATATTAATGTTTATAAAAACAGTTCAAATAGGATGATGACAATGATGATGATCATCATCATCATCATCATATTATATCTATTATTATTATTTGTAGTAGTGGTAGTAGTAATTGTAGTAGTAGTAGTAATATAGTTGTTGTAGTAGTAGTAAACAATAAACACCACAGATCACTACAGTACTATCGAGACTCATTCGAAGTCAAAAGCCATACAATAAAAATGTGTTTCAAGACAAGTTTTAAAAATGGGCAGAGAGGGAGTTATGCTAACGTTAAGCAGGAGGTCATTCCAGATTCAGGGACTGGCAATGGAAAAATATCAATCGCTTCTGAGCCTCCGCCTATTCCTCGGTACCTCCAGTAGACGTTTGGCACAGGGCAGGTATGTAAAGGTAAGGTGGGCTGAGACTATTTAAATATTTGAAAACAAACAGATCTTAAAAATAAAGCTAAAATGTGGCAGCCAGTGAGACCAGAATTGGGGGTATGTGCTCCCTCTCATGAGCAACCATTAGTAGGCAAGCTGCATCATTTTGGAATAACTGGAAATGCTTGAGGGAGTATTGGCCGATTATTTAAATTTTATTTTATGTTTTTCCAGATGCTTAAAAATACAAAAGCTGGATTTAACAACAGCCCCAATTTGCCGGTCCAATTTAAGATCATGGATGGATGCATGGATGGAATAGTTTACATCAACAAGCAAAAATTCTGCAATTTTTCCACCCATTTTCTTTTTGGGGTGCATTTCATTGGCTGTTTTTTTTTTTTTTTTTTTTTTTTTTTTTTTTTAATGAGTACAAGAGTGACAGACAGTAAATATCCAGAGGCCCTTTAGTCTCCTTCAAGCTGGCTGTTTTAGATGCGATGTGCACAGATAACCTGCTCAATGTCATCGCAATGTTGAGCAAAAAAACCCAACAAAATGAATGTCAAGAAAGAAGAGAAAATGTGAGATTTCAATGAAAGTGTCAACTTGTGTTTTTGTCACAAGCTTCCAGGTGACTTAGTAACACTTCTAGAGCATGTTTTTTTGTCAAAAATAACAGAGACTATTTTACAAAGCCACTGACGTGTAATTCAATCGTGCGGTGAGTCAGCAACTTTCTTAGTTGTACAGTATCTCTGTAATTAATTTCTAATTTTAGTTGACTAAAATATATAATGGTCAAGCACAGTATTTTTGAACTTTGAATATGCTCTTTTGTTTGATGCATCGGGATTTGACACGTGTGCCTCCTGTTAATATTTGCACAATACGTAGATTAATTCCTCCTCCATTGGTGGTGAAGTGTGAATGAGATGCGGGGGTAGGACTGAGAGGGAGAAAGTGTGTGTGTGTGTGTGTGTGTGTGTGTGTGTGTTTACGCGTGGCAATCCTGTGATATTTGCAGACATCATTTTAATTCACCTTGTACTGTGTTTGAGGTTTCCAACTCATCCTCACCACACGCTACTCAAATCAATTGCACTTGTTGTGGTGTCACGGCTTTGTTTGAAAAAAAAAAAAAAAGGAGAACTGTGCAACATAAAGCCTGTGAATTACATAGTACGACCTGCACTCTTACTATCCACTTCCTCCCCACGCACTAGAGAGCAGCACTTAAATCCCTCCCTCGCAATAGCTCAAGCGTCGTCAAGTCAAACAAGAACAAAGAATTGCGTGCTCCTACTGCGGTGTTAATCATACCCTATGCAGTTATGGGATTAATTCCTTT